AAAAAGAACAAAAAACCACAAAAAATCCACAAAAAAACGCAAAAAAACCCAAACAAAAACAATGAATCCGTAAAAAAGAACAAAAAAACCAAAAAAAAAACAAAAAAAAACCAAATAAAAAAACCTAAAAAAGAAGAAAAAACCCTTAAAAAAAACCCAAAAAACCAAATCAAACCCAAAAAACACCCATAAAAAGAACAAAAAACCCCTAAAAACCCCAATTAAACCCCAAAAATCCCCAAAAAAAACCCCAAAAAAAGAACAAAAAACACACAAAACCCCAAAAAAACCCCCGAAAAACAAACAACCATAAAAAGAACAAAAAGCCCACCAAGAAAAACCAAAAAAACCCAAACAAAACCCAAAAAAAAAACCCCAAAAAACCCCAAGGCCACCCCAAAATGTCCCCAAGGCGAAGAAGAGCCGAGGCCACGGGAGGGACAAAGATGTTTATGGTGACACCGATGTCCCCAAGGCCACCATGGGGACAGTGAGGGACACGGGGCTGGGATGTCCCCAAGGCCACCATGGGACAGTGAGGGACACGGATTTGTGATGTCCCCAAGGCCACCATGGGACGTGAGGGACACGGGGCTGGGATGTCCCCAAGGCCACCATGGGACAGTGAGGGACACGGGGCTGGGATGTCCCCAAGGCCACTCTGTCACATGTGGTGACATTGGACGTGGCCCTGAGGGAGGTGACAATGTCCTCTGGTGGCCTCGTCACACACAGTGACACCGAGCAGGGACAGGGAGGACATCCCGCGAGGGATGGCGAGTGACACACGGCCAGGCTGTCCCCATCCCTGTCCCTGTCCCCATGTCCCCGTGTCCCTGTCCCATGTCCCTGTCCCCGTGTCCCTGTCCCATGTCCCTGTCCCATGTCCCTGTCCCGTGTCCCTGTCCCTGTCCCCATGTCCCCAACCCTGTCCCATGTCCCTGTCCCCATGTCCATGTCCCATGTCCCTGTCCCGTGTCCCCGTGTGACACGGCCAAGCTGTCCCTGTCCCTGTCCAGCCTGTCCCCACCCCTTGTCCCCATGTCCCCACCCTTTTCCAGCCTGTCCCCACCCTGTGTCCCCTCATCTCCATGTCCCCACCCTTTTCCAGGCCGCGTCCCAGTGCCCCTCCAGGCTCTTGTCCCCATGTCCCCACCCTTTTCCAACCTGTCCCCACCCCGTGTCCCCTTCTCCCAGCGCCTCATCGCCCCTCCAGGCTCTTGTCCCCTTGTCCCTGTATCCCCACCCCATGTCCCCATGTCCCCACCCTCTTCCAGCCTGTCCCCACCCCTTGTCACCATGTCCCCAACCTTTTCCAGCCTGTCCCCACCCCGTGTCCCCTCATCTCCATGTCCCCACCCATTTCCAGGCCGCGTCCCAGTGCCCCTCCAGGCTCTTGTCCCCGTGTCCCCACTCTTTTCCAGCCTGTCCCCACCCCGTGTCCCCATGTCCCTGTGTCTCATCACCCCTCCAGGCTCTTGTCCCCGTGTCCCCATGTCCCCACGCCCTGTCCCCAGCCTTTTCCAGGCTGCATCTCATCGCCCCTCCAGGCTCTTGTCCCCATGTCCCCACCCTTTTCCAGCCCGTCCCCACCCCGTGTCCCCATGTCCCCGTATCTCATTGCCCCTCCAGGCTCTTGTCCCCGTGTCCCCATGTCCCCACGCCCTGTCCCCATGTCCCCACCCTTTTCCAGCCTGTCCCCACACCCTGTCCCCATGTCCCTGTGTCTCATCACCCCTCCAGGCTCTTGTCCCCATGTCCCGATGTCCCCACCCCATGTCCCCAGCCTTTTCCAGGCTGCATCTCATCACCCCTCCAGGCTCTTGTCCCTGTGTCCCCATGTCCCCACCCCATGTCCCCAGCCTTTTCCAGGCTGCATCTCATCGCCCCTCCAGGCTCTTGTCCCTGTGTCCCCACCCTTTTCCAACCTGTCCCCACCCCGTGTCCCCTTCTCCCCACGTCTCATCGCCCCTCCAGGCTCTTGTCCCCATGTCCCCATGTCCCCACCCCATGTCCCCCCGCGCCTCATCGCCCCTCCAGGCTCTTGTCGCGGGCAATGACGGCCTCGTCGAACTTGATCATGAGGGTGGTGCCCTTGTGCCAGTGGGCGCTGACGCGGGCGGGGAAGCCGGCGGCGCCCAGCACGGCCTCCAGCAGGCCGGCGGCGAAGGCGGCGCAGTTCAGGGAGCTGTTCTCGCGCGGCACCGACACGAAGGTGTTCACCAGCGGCTCCCGCTCGATCACGTAGAACGTGCGCTCGTCGTCGTTGGCCTGCTCCAGCTTGTCGGCCTCGCGCCCGAACAGCGCCCGCCACAGCGGCCCCTTGACGAACAGCAGCACCCCCAGCACCTTGGTCTCGCGCCTCCCGGGCCTCTCGCGGGCCACCAGAGCGTCCAGGGCCCGCAGCCCCACGTGCTGGCCCAGCTGGGCCAGCCGGGCCTGCAGCTCGGCCACCGAGGCCACGCGGCGCTGGCAGTACTGCACCAGCTCCGAGAAGAGCA